ACAAGAGTGAAGTTTTTGATTGGCAAATTTAGACCAGGCAATGCAACTCGCTTTGGAAACAATTCCTATTAATGTATAAATGTGTTGCGCTCAGATACAACTTGAAGTCCCTTCTGTGGCCATGGCAGTGCCCATGTGTACTGTCAGGATTGTGGGAATTCCTGCAGATAATGCTGGGAATTGTAGTTCTGTGGGAGGTAAACTACGTCTCCCATCATTCTTTGGAGGAAGCCATATGCTTCAAATGTACAGCATGTACATTAAATACACATTAAATAAATGAAACCATGTTACAGCTATTAATCCTATTAAAGGTCTAAAGACAGGGGGGAAATCAGCCAAACACTGTCCAGCTGCTGTGGCTCACTGGTTTTAAGTTGTGATAATGGCTCTGAAATTGCTCATGGATTCTGGGTGATGGTTGAACACATGCCTTGCATGCAGAAGGTCCCCTGATTCAATCCCCACCATCTCCAGTTAAAAGTTGGAAGCCAAAAACTTCAATAAAATGTGCAACGGCTCATTAACCTCTCAGGTGCTCAAAGGCTAGCAGGAAATGGATGTGCCAAAGAATAGCAAAGATGGTAAAGTGCTTTTCAAATGTACCCCTAGACCTTAAAAGGCTGGTGACCACTGTAATAATTTATTGGACTTGCAAATGGAAAGCAGGTTCAGTTCAAACCCCTACAGTGCACTGCCGGCCTTGGGCAAATAACTGCCACTCAGACACCAAACCCACAAAATTGTTATGAAAATTATATTTTGGAAGACAAATGACGCACTGAATAAATTAACTATGCAACTTGCATATGTTCCAGGAAACTATAGTGAAATCCTAGCTGTCACATGCATTAGTCACACGTGACAATGTAATAATAATACTGATCTTTTTTATAGAGGCAGGGGTCTTGTGGCCCTCCAGATGTTCAGGGATGATGGGAGTCATAGTCCAACAATATCTGGAGGACCACAGGTTCCCCACCCCAGCACAGTGCTTCCAAGGGCTCAAAGCATTTCACATGCATGTTCTAGTTGTACTTCTTACAACAACCTGGTAAGGGAAGGCAGTATAAAAATCTTCCCTATCACAGGGACTGAGAAATAATAACTTGCTTAAGGTCACCTAGGGAGTGCATGACAGAGTCAACATTTGAACTCGAGGCTTCCAGATTCATAACTCAAGTCTCTTTGCCATGATGCTATCCCAGTTCACAAGTGCAACCCGCTGCTCCCTACACAAGCCTTTTCTGTTTAAGAGGAGATACAGTTAGCAGTTAATGGACTAATGTGAGAGCCAACAGCATTCTGGGGGAAGGGTTATATTGGAAAAGGAGATGGTGATTGTTGACTGGCAGAGTTAGAAACTCCTGAGTTGATTTTAAGAGTGGAAGCACTTCATACACTATACCTGATCCTTCAAATTATGGCCACTTGGAAGTGCTCTAAGAATATTAAGGCAATAAGGCCTCAACAATTAGGAATCAGGTGGCATCAGAGGGCACGTTACCCAAATCTACATCCAACGTGCCACCAGCCCTGGTGAAGCAAGCACACATTCACTGGCTATTGAAAAGCATTTCCCTAACTAGAATAATTTGCAGTCTCCAAAACACCTCAGAAATACTTAGTCTTCAAACGCAAAGTCTCATTGCTGCCCAAAACTTACAAAGCTGTTTACTGGTTTTACGTATTCACACTGTGCCTTTGGGCCTGTCAAGAGTGGCTTATCTTGGCAATAGGAGTTGTGACATAAAAGCTGTGAGGAAGAATACAGTTGGCAAATACTTTATTTCCCTCTCTCTGAACTTCATCTCTCTGAGGTGACCATTTTCACATTTCTCTTCCACACTCAAGTAGCACACGCTCAAGGCTGCTTTTCTAGCAAGCTTTTATTACATGTGTGTATATGTAGGAGTGGGAGTTAGATGGATCCGTCTGTGTGCAAGTCCCCCCCCCCCCAATACAAAAGTTTTCCTTTCATGGAAAGGAGGAACATTGACCATTAAAAAAACAGAGAGGCTGCAACAAGTAACTTACAGCTGAACAAATATTGACAGCTGGTTTCCATATCTTCAGCAGATTAAAAGGCCCTTTTCTTTAATCGCATACCGCAGCTAAGCTAAACATGAAACAGAACCTCAAGATTAAAATCAATACATATATATATCAGAACTCATAAGTTTACATGAACCAAAAGGAGGCTGCACAGCCATCATAGTGGCTGAAGAGGTTTCAAGACAAGGGGACTGAAACACTTAGCCCTGGTTCTCATGTTACCTTTTCAGCAGATGGAAGGAAAAAAGGGGGGGGGGGTACAATCCCCTCAGAAGGTAAGAAGGGACCCATCTGTGATCCTGCCCAGTTTAGGCACTTTCCATTCTATTGTTTCATGTTGGGCTCTCCCCATTTGAAATAATCAGTGGGCCTTAATGAGGGGAGTTAAACTATGATGCAGTGGAATATGAAAGGGCTTAAATTTGGCAGCTGGCTTCCCATGAGAACTGGTCCTCACACCCTGAACACAATTTGGGTACTCCTTCATTTCCATCTCATCTATTTCAAGGAATCGAGACAAGATATGTGAAAGTCTGCTGTTCCCTCCCCCATTTTTGCTCACTACAAATAAATATGATACAAACAGAAATACAAAGTAGAGAGAGAATCTATGAACATCTTAAGCAGTGGGCAATGAACAAATGGACTAATTCAAGGGATTGGCACCAATTCTTCATATGTGAACTATGGAAAGTTAACTTCTTTTTTTAAAGCAATAAAGCCTGCAGTAATTTCTCAATACAGTACCAACAATAAGTATTGCTGGTCTAAAAATGCCTGCAGGGTTACTAATTGGTTCATGGGGGTCAGGAGATGTCAAACCAGAAGGTGGTGACAGAGGCCACAAACTCTACAGGAGAGCAGCTTCCATTCATTCCCATCAGGCTCCTGCAAGGGAACTTCTTACTGGGAAGTGTCCAGGATTTGAAACTAATTTCACACCTCTCGAAGAGGAAGCGCCCAGGAGAGTAGAAACTGCTATAGCAGCTGCCTTTCCATCTCTTCACTGCCCTCCCTATTCCTGATCGTTAAATGTGTGCAAAAGGATCAACAGCACCAAACTGGGATCTCACTAATCTTTCTAGCCCTATAATTTTGTGGAAACTTTTTTTCTTTTTAACCTTTAGTTTTGTTTGCTGACAACAGCTGGTCCAGAAAGAGGCATTCCACAGAATTGGGTTGGAAAATCCAATGGGCTCTTGCCAAACAGAAGGCAGTTAGGTTAATGCACATTGTCTTAATCGCATCCTCTGATTCTAACAGTTGACAGAATGTAATGCTACCCTGAAGCACGCAAAAGTGAGCCTAGAAATATTCAACACATGAGTACGAAAGAAAAGCCTTGCCATCTAGTCCAGCAGTCAGTTCCCTCAGATGCCTGTGGGAAGCCTGCAATGAGGTTAAGTGTAGCAGAGCTCTTCCCACTTGTGATTGCCTCTGACTACTGGTTTCTGGGATAGTGCCTCCAACAGTGGCGGTAGGTACCTACCATCATGGCAAGTAGCTGCCTCATCCCCCTTTAAAGCCATGCAAGTTGGTGGCCAGCCCTAGTTGAACACAACTGTGTGTGCTTCCTTGGGTCTTCTCTAAATTTCCCAACATCCGGCTTCATTGGAATGGGCCGGGTTCTCGTTACTGAGACAGGGAGAAGAACGTCTCACACTCCACTTTTTCCACACCACCCAAAATTGTACCCCCCCCTTTGAGGAGGTCTTCATTACTCAGCACTTATTAGCACTGCATCAAATGGGCCAACTATTTCTTTCCTTTCATACAAAATCATCCAAAGTTTAAGCTGACCTATGTCTCATTGTCTGTGACCTGCATATGAACATGGACCTGCATGGGAACTTCAACCATGCCTGTACAATTCTGGGAAATTCCTGTCCCTACAGAACTTACTGATCAATGACCTCTATGCCATTTCCACAAATCGTGTGACATCTTGCCTCCATTTTTCACACTGTTGTTTGTGGCACAATTCAGCACCCTGTGAGCAATACTGTACCAATGCTACTTGTCCCCAAGAATGATGCATAGTGAGCTAACCAGGCAGTTTTCAAGAAATGGTTGCAAAAGAAATAAGGAAAGGCATAGTCTGGAAGTGACATTACACCCTCCAAAAGATTTATTGGTGATATAAATATGTCCGATGGATATGAGTAAATATACATGTTTGGGCAAAGAGCATTGACCTTGATCTAGCAAAGCTGCTATGGTCATTTACTAGATGAAGGCATAAGAGGTTTTTTTATTCAAACGTGTTGGGCAAATTTACATTCTGAGGTAGTGCTTTGAGACTTTGCCTCTCCTCTGGGTCTGCCCCTCTTTCTGAAAGGAACAGTTGGAGGGGCACGTGTCACAGATATGTTTCAGATATGATATCTGACTGTTTCCAATACTGCTACTTGACAAGTGGCATGTCTGGGAGAGGAAAACTGCATTTAACAGAAGGCAAGATTCTGCTCCAAATGGCAGTAGAGGCTTGAGTATGGCAGACAGTTGATGGAGACACATTTTAGGACAACAACATCCCTAAGGATTATACATACAGAAGCTGTGTGAAGAAAAAGTGGTGAAAATTGGACCAGAGTTTGGAAAACAGGAGGCAAATATTTCCGGGTCCTGAGAATATGTTCAGTTTTTTGCCCACTTCTGGTCTTCATTTTTTCTTTTCAGTAAGAAAATTGTTCCTGAACAATTATTCTGAAGCGTTCCTCAGTTATCCAGTCTGGAATCATAGCATTTTAAATGCTATGCAGTTTGATCAGATCTGCTGGATCAAACAACGACAAACCAGAGAGGTCAACAATAAGGAAAGGATCCCACACGATGAGGTAAAATCAGTATCCATTTCCCATCAGAACAGCAGTCACGCCTTTTTTTCTTTTTCTTTTGTTGTAGGTGACCTTTGGCAAGATGGTCCGAAAGCTTCTCCAGTGTGTCTACACCACAAATTCCTCTGGGAGCTGATCTTCCCCCAAGAGATCCAGAGACAGGCAGTTCATGGACCTCTTCCCATAGAGGGCAGACTTGGTTTTGCAGTCAGCTGTTGAATAAACACATCCATAGCTGGCCAGCTTATCCTCTAAGGCGCAACCAAACGTATAGCTGTGTGAGGTATCTGAAGATAATGTGGCACTTAGTGGAGGATGAAGACACTTGTGAAGGCGGATGTCATCTAGACTATGGCTGTGCTGGTCCGGGCACTTCATAGCTTTGGGCTGTGCAAGCTGCCAGTTTAAGACAAGCATATATTAAAGCAAACAACTTTAAAACAAACAAGCAAGACAAAAGAAAAAGATTGCATGCGTGCAAGCTCCCATCTCGTCTCAAATTGTTAACATTCCTCTCATTCTCTTTAAGGAAAATTGTCTTAATGAAGAAGCTGTGAAGCATTATGGAATTGTGAAGTCATTCAACTATTAACGCCTAGATTCTGAGCTTCAGAACACAGTGTCCCCCTGGCATGTACAATGAACTGAGTGTTGGAAGGGAAGAGTTTGGCTGAAACAACGGTGCTTGTCTAGGTTGGAAAAAGGAGGGGAGAGCCAAGAGGGGTGTTGCTTCTTATAGTTAAAAGGTTTGATCATGGTAAGCAGAAGATTATTTTGTCTTCCTTTTAGAATCACTACGGTATATTTTGATTGGTCCTTCAATGTCATAGGAAGGAAGGAAGGAAGGAAGGAAGGAAGGAAGGAAGGAAGGAAGGAAGGAAGGAAAATAAGCCACATGGAAGTGGTATAGGAGGAAGAACTCCAAAACTTATGAAGAACTTCAATTTCTGACAAGTTCTTATCCCTGAGGATGTACTGAAATAGAAAGGCAATAGGAAGTGCCTTCCTGGGTCAGATGAAAGATCCCTCTTATCCAGCACTCTGTTATTTTCAGTGGTCAGCCAGAGGAGCAAGGAGCCATTGTGGTGTTTTGATTATAGACAGTTGGACTAGGATGGCTGAGGAGATATGAGTTCAAATCCCCACTCAGCTCTGAAACTCACAGGTTGACCTTTGGCCACTCATTCTCTCTCATTATAACCTACCTCACAGGATGTGAGGAGAAATGGGTTGGGGGGGGCATTTATGCTGCCCCATAAGAGGGGAAAGTGGGCGATATCTGGTATTCAGAGATAGGAAGCCTCTGAGTATAGAAGTTCCCTTTAGCTATTAAGGCTAGTTGTGCTTATGTTTTTCGACATAAGCACACAATAGAATCCCTGTTAACCAAATTTTGGAAATTTCCTGAATGTTATATGTATGATATGGGTGTGCATACTCTGATTTAGTGCTTTGGGAAACAGCCCATTTTAGACCAAGGGGACTTCTAGGCTGCCCAAGACAGCTTCTTTTCTCTCCCTCGCCCTCTCAGAAAAATCAAAGAACAGCAATAACTTTCCCTCATTTTTGACAGAAGTGGATAAAATTACGTACCTAAAATGGTATGTATGAAGGGGCATGGTATGAAAAAAGGATGACTGCTACCAGCAGCACAATGTATATTCAATTATACAGGAAGCAACGTGCTTCCCTGAACTTTTTTTTTAAAGCAGTCCTTGGACCACCTTGTAACTTTTATTTAATTTCCAATGGTTTATGCAGATATTTAAAGGATTTTCTGGAATTATCCTAAAAAATCTGCACAGTAACAGCCTAGGGAAGTCTTTAATCTGTCCCCATGCACAAATGTGATGGACTTGGGACAGATGCATTTGTTGCTACTCTTTTTTCCATAGATGGTCTTTCTGCCTCCCTTCTGTGTGGACACATGTGAGTGTGCGTATCTATTAAAGATACAACGCTTCATGCATTTAACTGAGGGCTCTGTGCCACAATAATTTTCTTAGTCTTTACAGGTGTCACCACACATTTCTTTGTTTCTACTACAACAGACTAGCATGACTACCAGTCTGGAATTTGCTTACAAGTCAAAGGTAGGGAACCTGTGGCTCTCCAAATGTTGGCACTCCAACCCTGCCAGAACAAGCAATAGTCAGGAAAAGGAATGGGGAAGAGTTTCTATCCTGTTAAAGGCAAATCTATCAAATTCACACTTTCTGAAACAATAGGAGAACCAAAGCACAGCCATCCTCCCAAAATTCATACTTGTCTGAATTTTGCAATGTTTACAAAAAATGTATATATTCATGGGGAATGTGCATAAATCTAGTGTATTATTGAAAACAGCATACAAAATGCAGCATGTTTGTTAGAGAAATTTGCACTAAAATGTTGGTGAGTTTTCATGGGCACGTTTAAGACTCAGCTTGCAATGTATACCAGCTTCATCCTACACTCTGAATTCAGTGGGTTATATTTCCAAGTAAATGCTTTTAGTCTGCAGCCCTTAATCACATGCTTAGCTCTCCTACTGAAATAAGAGAGACTTAAAAGTGCATAACTCCGGCTGGGTTGTGCCCACTAGTTAATCAGAATCAGCCCTGCAGGCTGTCTCAGTTTTAGACGTATAAACCATCTTGTTGAGCACCCTGGATTATGGCGAAGTCTACTGAATTCAAGCTAGGCTTCCTTTGGTGCTGTTGACAGAGTGAGTCTGATTTTACTTTCAGATCTTTGCTGTTATGCTGTGCTGGCAAACGAAACGTTAGATACATTCTTAGCGGAGCAATTTGTGCACTAACCACAGACCGAGAATAAACAGCGGTCCCACAATGCTGAAGTCTACAGTCAAGGGATCTTTCCCCCCTTTCCTGATGACAGCAACCACATTTGGAACATAGAAACATTAACATTAAAATGTAAAGATCGAAGTATTCTTTACAGACCAGAATGTGATTGCTTAAGAAACAGCATCTGATTACACCGCTAGAAACAAAATCCATGAGCTAAACCCAACCTTGTGCATTCTTTATTTTGAGTTGGATCCAGTTTCCCAAGTGGTTGATGCTATCTTTTAGGCTTAGAAATAGATGCTTCAAAAGAAAATGTCCTGGGAGTTTAAACCCAGAACTCATCCTAATGTGGCATATGATATTTGCCAAATTTCTTATTACAGCGTGTAAATGAGACAAGAGTTTGGTATGGCTCATAGCAACATATCAACCTGCCTTATACTTTCTAGCTCATTGATTCATCCAGCTCATTATTGCCTATATTGATGGACAGCTGCTGTCCTTCTCCTACCAGGAGATGCGGTGGGTTGAAGGTGGAACCTTGCAGCTGCTCTGCCACTGAGCTACACCCTTTCCACACCAGCCAACTTCTTACCTGGCAAAGCGATTCCTCACTCTGGCCTCTGACCTTTATTAACGTGACTTGCACTACTGAAAGATGGTTCGGATTTGTGTCTGTTGTGGGGGTGGGGAGAGAGAGAGACAAAATCAAAATGATAAGATTCAAACTGAAAACAAAAATGTGGATCAAAGCTTGTAGAGATACTGGTCATGTTCACGTGGTCATATCTCAGCTTATTAAGCCATGATATATGCACAAGTATTTTGTCCACGCATGCCATGCCTCTTTGCTCCTTCCCTGGATATGAGCTGCAATTAAACCAGGGAGGCTTTAATTAGCCATAGTTTTCCGTTTCATCTGAATTGGGAAAATACAGCTGTCAGTTTCTGAAAAAGCCAGGATATCAAACCATGGTTTGAAGTGAGTTTAATGCCCTGGCTTGTTCCTGGTTGCCATCATTTTCTATGGCATAAAACCATAAATTATGATTGACTAAAGATTTCCTGGTTTAAACGTGCCTAGTGGCAAAGGGGGTCTGTAAGTGAATGAAAGGATTGTCCGAGCTGGCTCTGTATATTGAGAAATGTAATATGGCAGAAGCATCAGAAGGAGAATCCTCAGGTCGCAAATTCCTTGAATTTGAAAGGCATTAATAGTGGGTATCTGCTGCTTCTCTCTTTCTTCTGCAAAATATTCCTTACTCCTGGCTTATATTAAGATTCTGTATATAACACCAGGCAATAGAGTGTTAAATTCACCAGTTACTGCACCCAGTCCTATCCATGGCCAACAGTTGAAATTGTCCACCTTTTGTACCAGCAGATGTTAACAGATTATTCAAATTATTTTCTTAAGCAGGTTGGGGAGAGAGCAACAAGATGCAAGTTTAAGGATTACAATTCTATATATGACAGTAGGTTCTCACTTCCAGAGGTGCTTGGTTCAAGAAAGTTCCTAGCTCATTGTTACAAAAAAAAAGTCATCATGGGGACATGTATATTTAGCTAAAGCTTCACACAGGAAATTGGGAATTCCAGCGCTTGAAGGAACTCTGCTTATTTCACAATTCTTTGTGGCTTTCAGTCTCCACATTTTTGTGTCCCTGTGACCTTTTTAAATGATGATACCCTGAAATACTTTCCCATGTCCCACACACCCCTTCACTCCACAAACAGGTTTCTTCAAATTTAGTAAAAGAAATGTCACACTGGAGTATTTTATGCAAGTCAGAAACTTAAAACACTGTGAAACAGGATGCAACACTGACAAATTTCAAAGAGTTGCGCAAATATCAGCTCACCCTGGCAGCAAACACCATCTTTTGCAAGTGAATCTACAGGTTTTCCATGTATGACATCCTCTAACTGAGGCTCATCCACAGGCACCTCTTCCGACTCATCCACTGTCAATTCAACTTCTGGAAATTACAAGAGAGAAGGTGGCACAGTGATATATCTTTCTCTAAAGTCACCTGCTCGCCCATTCATCCTACCCACCACTGCTCTTAATTTTGTTCCCACAGAAAAGAAATACCTGCTGGCCATTCCTTCCAAGCCTTACCATCATCCTGAGAGTCCTCTTCGGCTCTCTCTTTGCCACTGCTATCAATGCCAGAGCTTCCATAGCTGATGTTTGAGCTGCAGGACTTCTCCTTCCGATGAACCCGATCCATCCCAAAGGGCTCATCCACCGACATCTCCACTGAAATCCGATGCTTTGAGTCGGCCTCAATGCCCGACGTGTGAGAGCTGCCATGGCTGTCGGTCGACTGTCGAGACAGACGGTTGTTCTTCTCACTTCCTCTGCTGCTTCCACTGCCGTGCGAATGCTTGTCGGATGGGTCAAGGTCCATCTCCAATGTGTCGCTGATGTAGGATTCCCGATATCGTTTCTTCTCTGCAACAAGTGAGATGGGTGGGGGGAAAAGTTTGGAAAAAGAGAAACTTAAATCTCTTGCCACCTGTGCTGGCCTGATCACATGACGACACTGCATACAAATAGTGATACATGTATTTAATAATTATTATAGTGGAAGGAAGCACTTCACTGGTCAGACTAGCACATGTGGTGGAAGGCTCAACACCACCAGAGTCTGTGCATGGAGCAAGTGCTCTTGGGAGCAGCCCTCACAATCTATCCAGCAACCATCACTCTTACCCAGAAGTGAAGCAAAAGGAAGGGCCATGGAGACAAAATGGCTATAGTGGTTTCTCATTCATTAATCCACCCATTCATTACATTTCCATGTGGCCTGATTATAATAAAACTTTCAAACCTCCAACTCTGTCCATTTTCCATTTTTAATTGACACACCTCATTGGTGGTTAAGAGGATTTTTAATATTTGTTTTTGAATTCTGAAATCATACGTTTTATGACTTTTAAAAATCTTGCTGAAATTTGGAATGATACAAGCTAGCTAAATATTTTTTTTAAATTGTCATGCTTAAGGAACTGGAAGGGTCCCAGGTGCCTTCAAAAATAGTGGGTTAAGTTCTTCTATAACAACTGAGGTTAGAATGCAAGGGAGACTGGAGCCACGTTCTCCTTGCACGGTGGATTGTAGCAAACAAGCCATGCCTTTGAAGGGTGGCATGACATCAGTGCCAGGTTTTTGTGAACCCTACAGACCGCATACATGACCTCCTCTTCCCCACCACAGCTGTCTCTGTCTTGAGCAAGCAGGCCACCAGTCAGCAAACAGTTGCCAGCCATTCCTCCTCCTCAACTCTCATCTGCCCACACATCACCTCTTGGCCAAAGAGTTGGCAATCAGCCCCTTGGTGCTGGTGAGTGGCAGCAATCAAGAGGCCTTCAGTGCTGGACCTCATGCAAAGTGTGGGCCTTGGAAGGTGTCCGGTCATGGCAGCCACTGACGTTGGCCCTGCCTGCCTCACACCTTTTGAACTCAACACAACTTTCTGACCTTGCAAATATCTTTAAGCTTTTGTGAAAACCAATGTCTTTGCATCTGCCCTGTGTTTGCAAGAGGCCTTGGCCCTTCTCAAATGCAAACCCTCACCCTCACTTACCTTCTGCATCTTCCAGCATCTGGATCTGCTTAAGGATGGGTTGGATGTTAAGAAACACACGGTGGCTGTTGCTGAGCAGCTGCAGCAAATGCCGAGACCGGAAAGGGCACCCTGTGTAGTAAACTAGCTTCCGGGCTGAAGGCAAACCATCAGGCTGGATTACAAACTTCTTCCCCTAAATTACAGAGAGGGGAAAAGGAAAGTGCTCTTGGTAAACAGGATTGCACGTTTTATTATCTCTTTATATAAAAAACCCCAAACCCTATTATGCATTTGTCAGCTCTGAGCCTTTAAGAAATCATGCGATTCAAACTGCAAGTAATCCAAATTAACACTGTCACGTTCTGCAACACTCACCAGAAATGCTAGTTTCCCAATGTGTGACCAGGGGAAGTCATAGAGCAGCTGGCGAACATGGTTCACCTCCTACAACAATGCAAACAAATGGCAAAAAAAGGAAAGAAAACGACATTGTGAGATAAACAGGAACAATAATCAGACTTGTAAAGTCTAGGACACAGGAAGAAGTTGGAAGTGCTGGCAGAGGAACTGTGTGTGAGAGAGAAAAAAAGAGAGTGGGGTGTTAATGCCAGATTTAAAATCTTTCAACTTCTTACCTGATAGATGTGCATCCCTTTAAGAGTCAGGCCCAAAATGATGGTTGGGCGATCCTCCTTCTTGTCCTGGGAAGACACAAAGGTGCAAGGTGAAAAGACAGACTTTGCTTTGGTGATAGTCAAGGAGGCTAGGAGGCTACCAGAACAGGACTGTAGCCTGGACTACTCCTGAAACCAATGCTGCACATATACAAGCTGTGACCAGGATCACTTGTATAAACTACACCTGTTTCTTGCATGAGATGGATCTTCCCACCCCCATGCATGCCTTTAGGCAGACCACTGAAACACCCTATGATCTATTTGCAGGTCACACTAAGCCAAACCATGTCCAAGTGTAGGGATTTGAAGGCCCAGAACCACCACCCTGCCCCAGGGGAAAATGAAAACATTTTCCCTCCTGCTTTTTCTCTGCCCAATTTTTCTGGTTTTTCCCTGGGCCTTCACACCTATGAGCAAGAGTACAAATCCAGTTCCAGACTTCTCTTTCCCCCAGCTATGTGACCTACAGAAACCTATGCATTTGCAAAGCGGTTGCTGTGGACATACATCTGAAGGGCCCTTGGTTAGCCACACTTGCCCTACTACACGGAAATGGATGCTAATATAATAATAATAATAATAATAATAATAATAATAATAATAATATAAAGTGGAAACGAAAAATAAAATTCCTATCAGCATATGAAAAAACAAAACCACACACACACTCTCACACCAGTATTTCAAGTCAGACGGGAATTCAAGTATTAAAGTGACTATTTCAGATCTTCGGCATCCCTAGGCACAAAGCGTGTCAGATCTTGCCCCATATAACCCTTCCAGCTTGTACTTGCGCAGTCTCAATCAGCAAACAGCTTAGACTGGAAGAAATTGCAGGAGTGGGTAAGTCTTATAAGTGGTAGGCACAAGCAGGGCTTTCCTTTTTCATATTTTCATATTCATTTATTTGCTTTTCTGTTAACCTTCCACATCAACAAAGCATGAACCAAAACGATGCAACAAAGAAAAAGCTTTCCTTTCAAAGAATCGACCAAAAATCAGGAAAAATTCCTTGACTTACTATCATGGTTCCTTTTAACCCCTCTTTTCCTCATGTTTTCTAAGTTCACCCTATTTAGTTTAGTTTAGAACCTGCTAAGTTACCAAACTCTTTTATTTCTTCCAAAACCGCTGGTACACTGTCTAGTGGGTTTTTCAACGTCAAAACAACATCATCCGCATAAGCTTTTAACTTATACTTTTGTTGGTCCACTTTTATACCCCTTATTTTGTCATTATTCCTTATCTTTTGTGTCAGTACCTCCAAAATCAAAATAAGCAGCATTGGGGACAACGGACACCCTTGCCTGGTTCCTTTCATAACTTTGCATCCTTCAGAGATAATGTTATTTACAATCATATTTGCTTGTTGTTCAGTATATATAGCTTCTATAGCCTTTAAGGATGTTTTCCCCAAATCCATTTTCCTCAGAACTCTTTTCATAGATAGCCAAGATACATTGTCAAATGCTTTCTCCGCATCCAGAAATATCAGTGCTGACAAGCAGGGCTTTCCTATTGTTTGCTACAAAAAGGGAATGACCTTGTACACTCACAAATCATCATATTCCACAGAGGGCAATGGAAAGCCCTGAACATAGTGAGCTATAGTCTGCTGTCTGCAATCCTACTGGAATGACTCTAAGTTTTGAAGAATCATTTGCACTTAAGTGGAGGCCTTTGCTGTAATATTATGCATACAATTGTGAGCTGGGTCAGGGTTGATGGTGGGGGGAATACAGGCTTTGTCTGAGTCAGGTGGAGACATCCCTGGATTGGGTCTGGCCACCCAGTGTGATCTGAAGGTGCCACAGGGTGGAGCATCAGGTGAGAGAAAGGGGCAAACTTCTGGTGTGAAGGGTGGATGGGAAGAAGCTGCAGAGGGTCTACCTGGCAAGCACCTTCCTCCCAACCATTATTTCCATTTGTTTGCTTGCTTGCTTGAGAAAAGAACTCAAAAAGGCTGTCTGCATTTCAAACACAGCATTTCAATGCTTGAAGCAAGAATTGGCCCAGCTTCACCTTCTGCAGTCTGTAGAAGTGGACAGGCACATCTTCCAGCAAGCAGGACTCCTTGACGTACTTCAGAATGGCTTCCCTCGTAGACAGGCCTCGCTGTTCCCGGTGCATCTCTGGAGCATGCTTCAGGATATAGTCACTCCCTCGCCTTGCAATAATCTGCCATGGGGGAAGGAAAGAGACAACGTCAGCAGCTTCCTCAGTCTCTCTTCAATAGGTCTGCAAGACCAGGTGGCTGAGATCCATGGCATGGTTCGTGAGACTCAGGCGAGGGTACTCCCCCCGCCCCACATCAGAAGCTCATTGAATGGTGCATCATTTAAATATTCTTAAAAAGAAGAATCCTGCTATAAGCCACTAAGTGTGTACTAGGAAATTTCTCAGTGTGTTCCTCTTTAATTACAAGGCAACAACAAAGGGGGGGAGACCCTACTAATACTTGTGACAATTGTATTTGTAACCTAAGAACATAAGAATAGGCTGGTGGATCGGGCCAAAGGGCCATCTCCTTCAGCATCCTGTTCCCTCAGTGGCCATGGAAACTGCAAGCAAGACCCAAGGACAAAAGCACTTCCCCCTCCTGTGGTTTCAAGCAACTGGTATTCAAAGGCAGTACTGTCTCCAACCGTTGAGGCAAAGCATAGCCTTCATGGCTGGTAGCTATTAATAGTCTTGTTCTCCATGATTTTGAATAATTGTATTTTAAAGCTTTCCAAGTTAGTGGCCATCACTGCCTTCTGTGGGAACAAGTTCCATAGTTTAACTATGCCCTTTTAAGTATGCTTCTCAGCTAGGTTTACAAGATTCAATGCAGAACAGGGGAATTTCAGCTGTTGCAAATTTTCCTGCTAAAGGGTAAAGAGGAAGACACTGTCATTCCTCTGTTTCCCCATCCAAGTGGTGCTAATCATTCCAAATCACTAGAGAAATAATCACTAGAGAAATAATTTTCACAGGGAATCTCTTCGGGTCAATATTGCAATATGCACCTGAAGTTAATAGCTCAAATTAGGACAGAGTATCCATGTCTTTAATTGTGATGGGAAGCTCCTTCTTTCACAGTGCTACAGTGAGATAAGAAACTGCACTTCCATGCAAAACTTTTAGAAGACATCTGAAGGCAGCCCTGGAAGTTTTTTATGTTTGACATTTCATTATGTTTTTATATGTGCTGGAATCCACCCAGAGTGGCTGGGGAAACCCAGCCAGATGGGTGGGGTATAAATAATAAAATCACTGTTGTTGTTGTTGTTGTTATTAATTATTATTATTATTATTGGTACACCAGTAGCATTCCAAGGCAAGCAGTAGGCAACCCTTCTGAGCAAAGTGACCAGAGAAGATCAAAATAGTATAGCAATAGGAAAAACGCGGTGACTTTCTCTTGCTTAGAAGAAGAAAAAACAACAACAGGAGGGGTGAACAGGGGGCCCCACCAGGTGGCAGTGTTGAGAAAGGTTTGAAAAAGCAGCAAGTGACTGTAGTGGATGTCAGAGCTGATACCTGCTACAGTCACTGGGAGACTTCTCACCATGCAAATTCTGTGTGCAAGACTGATCGCTTGCCCAAGCAGGAGAAATTCCTTCCAGGCTTCATCTAAACTGTGTGTAATAAGAGCTCATTGCAGTTTAGGTTGTATATCTTATTTCTCCCTTTCCTGAATATCACTCAACACTTAAGAGGCACTAAAACCCAGTCTTTACAAGGGAACAGTAAGCCCTCGAAGGGGATGTTCTTGCCTGAATGTCTTCTATTCTCTTAATTACAGGGAGGCTCCCTCAGGTCGCCGTACCACGGTCTCCCTTTGTCAGACTTCACATGACTTTAATTATCCTGCTGCCACGAAGCCTGATCTTTCTTAACTCCTCTCTGCCTCATCAGCCAGGTGCCATGGGTCTCATGAGCAGACTCCAAAAACAAGGCTGCCTGCCTGCCAGCTCTTGCCAACATCCTTATCTCGCTACCGTGCACAATGCAGCAATCCTGAGCCGTGGAACTGAACCAGAAGCATTTCATACATTATCTCGCTGCAGTGCCCCGGGGACAGGGAGAGACACATCCTACCGGGTGCCAGGTTCCATCTCTGGCAGCCAATTCTATCAACATGTTTACTTGCATATGTGAGCTAGTGTGGACTTGGGTGCTGCGAGGTCACAAGCTTGCAGGGTTAAAGAAAAGATCCAAGACCCTTTTCCGCCTACAAAACAACCCATGCCATACTCCTCACAGAATGGCAATTCCAAGAGTGATGCAAGTTTTGGCTGGGACTTTCTATGCCAAACAGAGAGCTTGCCAGTGTGTGGAGTCTCAACTTGCCCGACCTCTTAAAAGTTGCCTCTCTGATGCACACTCACTTCAGCTCTTCTTGTGGAGGGTGGGGAGGGAAAGCAATATTCATTGATTCCCCCTGCAGTCTGAAAATCTGCTCCAGAGGATTGGGCAGTCCCTTGGAACAACAGTGATAACCTGAGTGCTGCGGATTGCAAGGGGTGTTGATGCAAACTGCTCCCTCCAACGGCAGCCTCTAATGGATCTCAACTGAATGGGGTTTTCATTCACAGTGCTCAGGACGATGGGTTGTACCTAATGCAGAGCCAGGTAAATTCTCTCTGTGGCCCCCTCTCTGAAGGCAGTAGCTTTCTGAAGATTATTGGGATGGGTAAAGTGCAATGAGATGGGGTTTCCTGCTTATGCAAGTTGACTCTATCTGATTTCCCCCCTCCCACTTTACCCCAGACTGTTCCTGGGGGTCTCCTAACCCCCAGGGGCGGCAGTGGTAAGTAGGGGGTAAGGATGAATATCTTTACATTCATGCTTCACTGGATATAACCCCACATATTAAGAAAGAGCATGAGTAAGTAATAGGGTGAATTCAGATAACCCACTAAGCCTTTCATGCAGAGTCAGGTACAGGAGGAATGGGGGGGGGGAGAGCTTAAAAAAGAAAAGCTTCTTTACGTTTCGTTCAACTTGAAACTCCTTAGTGATTTTGCTTCCCTCTCATAATGCAAGACTTACCCACTGTGGGAAGTAAGTCTGAGGTTCAAAGTAGTTTCCTCGGTGGAAGTTCTCCTGGAAGTCCCCCACGTCCACCTGCAGGCCATAAGCAGCCAGCAAGAAGTAGACTTCTTCTTTGTCAGTGCACCGGGACCTCAACACTTGCTCCCGGAGATGGCAGTAGTAGTAATGGCGTGCTACCTTGTCACTGCAGGATAAGGAACCGCATTGGGTTAGAAAACAACAAGAACAGAAGCAGGTAAAGGAAGCACTTACCAGAGAATTATCATTCTGATAGAAAAGACTATATGTGAGGGACATTATTTTTGTCACCATCAATCATTATGTGATGTTCTAGAGGCCCCTTTCAGGCTGAGTAGGATTTGTTAGGAGTTAAGTCTTTTGCTCTCAGGTCTGACCCTACCATTAGGCAGAGTGGGGCGGCTGCCTCAGGCGGCTGGTTTTGGGGGTCCTAAAAGGCTCGTTATTGTACATTGACTGCCAGGGGTGTTTTGGATAGCCACTTGTGGGATTTTACTTGATGTTATTTATTAAATGATTTATAAGCCACCTGTCAGGGCACAATTGTCCTCTTAGGGCATAGCACAAAACTCCGTAAGACATAAAACGCAGTATGCATCATAACGTTTTCCGTTGAAAGGGCTGTCAGAATAACTTGAATGCCCACAGAATACTTTAACTTCAGCAGGGCAGAGCATTTGTTGTTCTGCCTCAGGCAGCAAAATGTCTTGAGTCAGCCCTGCTCCCTCCGAAGCACAAAATGGGCTGCTTTTAATGAAGGGAGGCAGAAATATTCATCTTGTGCTGACTAAGGTTTGAATGACATGTTGACAGGTGTGTTATAAAGGAGGACAAAGAGACTATCACAAAACCAAGCTGCTTTTCCAGGATTGTAGCTTGGATATATACTTTGAGGAGGGCTCATAATTACATGGTTTTTGTTTTAATTTAGAAGTTTTAAAAAACAGCGAAAGGAAGGCTGTGGAAATAAAGAGTTCAGTGATCCAGGATGAATGAATGAACAAGTAATACAGTTCTGCCTAAGATCTGATGGTCCCCCAAACCTGTGTGGAAAAGATATTAGCTATCACACACAATTTCAGAGAAGTGGATCAAACCCTTTTCTAAGAGCTACTATAGAGTGGCAGTAAGCAGAAAGAGTACAAAAAGAAAAACATGTATAATTCTCAAAGAATTGGGCAACTTTACCTTATAACCCGTCCATTTTCAACATAGTACTGTACTCTGAAGAAAGCAACCAAAGGAGGGCTGAACTTCTCTGTTGCCTTCAAAAGAAAGATGGTAGGGAAAGGAGGGATTACATGATGTCCTTAAGCACATGTACACACAACACTAAAACATGCTTTAGATTTACATGTGCGAGCCTCTGCTAATCCAGACAGGGCCTAAGGCTTGGACATCCCCTGTTCCAACTCATAGCACAGCAACTTCAAGGAAAGCACAACTTAAGTCACTCCAAAAGAAGACAGTGGAGAACTCCAAATCATTTTCCCATGTACTTGCAAAAAAACCAGTAGATCTAGCTGAAAGGATCTGTACCGATCATTGCAATGCATCCCTAATTATTATTATTATTGTATAATAATATTTTGCATAATCATGGAAAGAGTATGGCTGTGACTACCATGAAGGGACCTTGCACAACTGAGCCACAGACTTCTCCTTGATTTATAAACTACTACTACTACAACTACTACTACTACTATTACTAATTATTTATACCCCACTCATCTGACTGGGTTTTCCCAGCCACTCTGGGTGGCTCTCAAAAAAATATTAAAAACATGATAAAACATCAAACATTAAAAACTTCCCTAAATAGGGCTGCCTTCAGATGTCTTCTAAAAGTCAGTTAGTTGCTTATTTCCTTGACATCTGCTGGGAGGGCGTTCCACAGGGTGGGCACCACTACTGAGAAGGCCCTCTACCTGGTTCCCTGTAACCTCACTTCTTGCAGGGAGGGAACCGCCAGAAGGCCCTCAGAGCTGGACCTGAGTGTCCGGGCTGAACAATGGGGGTGGAGGCGCTCCTTCAGGTATACTGGGCCGAGGCCATTTAGGGCTTTAAAGGTCAGCACCAACACTTTGAATTGTGCTCGGAAATGTACTGAGAGCCAATGTAGGTCTTTCAGGACTGGTGTTATATGGTCTCGGTGGCCACTCCCAGTCACCAGTCTAGCTGCCGCATTCTGGATTAGTTGTAGTTTCTGGGTCACCTTCAAAGGTAGCCCCACGTAGAGTGGATTGCAGTAGTCCAAGGCATGCTTACCCAAGACCAAGCCCCATTGAACACCGTTGGATGTCCTTCTGAGTACATGTGCATTGCACTGTGCTATCAGAATCTCAGATCTCAAAATACATTTGAAAGCAGGCAAAAAAAAAATGGTTTGGGCAACAAAACCAACATTGGGCTAAAAAATGTCCAGTAGTTTCAGCTTCCCACAGGAGGAGCCTCACCACACAACCATGTCAAGAATTCAGTGTCAGGAATTTACACTGGCAGGACTCACTTTGCTTGCTTCTTTCTTCCACTCCTTTGGGAAATATTTGCAAAGCTTCTGCTCCAGGTCAATGAATACATATTCATTGTCTGAAAAGGAGACAGGAGAACTGATAGTAAATAGAAGGCTTCAGGGACAAACTGTGACATTTTCAACAGTGTGACACACACTTCTAATGTTAGTAATTATATATAGGCATAAAATTAAATACGCAATTACATCATTTAAATTTGAAACCTGTTCTTTCTTTTAAAAGAATTTTCCCACTTACCAAATCTTGGAAATCATGTCGACTGGGCAAAAATTAGAGGAGCTACTTTATCCAGGCCTCTGTTGCCTGAATACATGCAACCTCTGCTATGTGGCAGAGAGAAATAAGGATTGTTCCTACATGGGGCCTCTTTACTCCCGGGGTGTAGGGTTTGGGGCACAGAGCGGCAATTTCTCAAGGCACGCTTCATATCCTGTAGCAGCACACTAGAATTAATATTCACACTTTTTATGAATGAAACATTTGAGAATCACTGCTCTAAACTATATGGCTAGCTGAGTTTAGTGGTGCCGTGCTCCTGCTGTTAAGAGAACATAGATGGGGTCAACATATAGTTAAGCTCACAGTTATAATTCTGATTTTTTAAAATTAAAAAACAGCAAGTAAAGACAAGGCTATAATTGAAGAGTACATTCTGAAAAGGATCTAAAATGTCAGGCAAACTCTCTATATAAACACAAAATACCACACACCCCTCTCCAAAAAGTGCTAGTTTTGTGTCATGAGCTTCTGTAGGCAAGAGCTTATGGCAGGGTTGGGAAGCCTTATGGTTGGGGTCAAAGGCAGCCCTCTAGACCTCTCTGTCTGGCCCTTGAGACTTCCCCCAGGGCATGCCCCTCCTCAAGCCAGACCCAAGATGGAAAAACGTGTGTGTGTGTGTGTGATTTTTGTGTGGTTAAATGTACAAGAGTAAAAATAACATCCATTGCTCCTCCCACTTTTCCCTCTGGCCCTGGCCACTAATGGAATGTGGCCCCTGTAAGGTTGTCCATGAGGAAATGTGGCCCTAGACTGGAAAAGGTTTCCCACCCCAGTCTATGGCTTCCAACACATGAAGGGGCCGACAAGTACATGTTCTGCATAGGGGAAAGGGGAAGAGAGGCGCGTGTGTATGGTGAAAGCCAGAGTACCACTTGCCTTGAGGCAATCCTAACTCACTAGAAGAGACCACACATTTGATGTTCTCTATCAACAAACCTCCCCTCTCCCCAAGAAAACTCCCAAGAAATTAATAGTGTGATGTTCTGGCGCCAGCTGAAACCTTATTTATTTGCCCAGGCTTTTATTTAATGATGGCTTTGTTTTTCTGCTAGCTATGTGGTTTCCCCCCCTGCCCATTTTGTCTTAATGTATATTATGTATTGGGTTTAAATATAATGCCGTTCAGGATTGCTTTGGCAATGAAGAGTGAGGAAAAATGGTTTTGAATAAATAAATAAAATAAAAAGTCACACCGACAGCAGGCTGAGAGTAGTAGCGGTTACAGATATTCTATGACCATATGGAAAAGCAAATTTATTCATATGTTTGCATAAAATTTGATGATCAATATTATTTGGGAAGGGGGTGGAAGCAAGGGAAGGGAGCGATCAGGAAAGCAGGATATCAAATTGTGGCATAAATTAATAACATAGACACACATAAGCCAAACTGAATATAGTTTTATTTTTTCCAAGCCAAATTCCTGGTGTAGAGGTTAACCAAAGGAGATGTTGATATGTATTATATGGCAAATCAGTATGGCTCACAGTCTTCCAGCTGTTCACTAGAATACGCCAAGCCACACTGATATATGGCCAAGGCAAAGGGCTAAACCAGACTTAAATAACGTGCATGCTTTTAAAAATGCAAATAGCATTAGCTGGTGGGGTGAAGCGGCTGGCTCACACCTCATGAGGAAATTTTTTTTTGTCTGAAGTCAGAATTTGCATTGGGAGGAAAATCTCACATGGACCCCCTTATGGGGAATTTCACCCCAGCTTCAGGAAAGGAATTTTACCTCAGGACCAAAGCAGGGAGAAGAAGGGATTAAGCCCTCCTTCGAAGCCACTGTGATTGCGATAATAAAAATGCTATTTGCATTAAAAACACACACAAAAAACCCACCCTACAGTTCAATGCAAATATCCACAGGCACCAAGAATGAGCTACTGCTTCAGTCTAGTCTGAGGGACCTTACTCATGAGTAGAGCCAGCCCTGAGGACCGGGTACACATTCTCTTCCTCAGCAGCACTAGGTGCTGGGCTTCCCTTTGTGAAGAATGAGCACCAATCCCCCTCACATGCTTCACAACTTTGCGCATGAGCCTGTAGTGGCGTTTGCAAAGTGTTATAGACTATTTGTACCCTGAAAAGCACACCACTTTATTATTGTTTCGGCACCATTTCTGGGAAAGGGGACATAGAAACCAAGAATTATTTGTATATGGGGGTGGGGGGTGGCAAACGTACATGACTTGCTAAGCTGCTTTAGGATTTTATCAACAGTGCGTGATCTCCCTGCCTCCCTCAGCCAAGAAACAGTCCTTCTTTCTTTCTACCTCCTCTCTCCTCAGACGCAGCCTGCAGTTGTGGCCGTCCTCCCATCATGTGCAGGAATGCAGCAATACATTCCGACTCTAATGAGGTTAATATTGTCAAAATGCCAACCTGCAGTGTAATCCTTAAGCTACAAAAACAAAAAGTCCTTCCCACCCCCTCCAGCTTTCTCACATAAAAGCAGAGGGTCCGGTCTGTGTCTCTCCCCCCCCCCCAGTTAAGTGGATTAAAGGTTAAGTTTACAGAGCCTTGTCATGTGTTCCAAGTTGCCTCTTTTTTAAAAAAAGTGTGTTCCTTTGATTACATGAAATTTGGGAACAATTTCAAGCTGATTACAGCGGAGGTGTTTGCGTGGGGTGGGGGGAGGACTTGGATAGGCACACAAATTGGCCAGTTTAAGTGTCACTCACAAAACATGCCAACGCAAAGGCCAAGTTTCACTGGTGCCAAGGCTCAGCCCCCAAACACTCATGTTCCTACTCAGTCTCAACGGCTCAACTCTGGAATCAAAAGCAGTAACAAGAGTGTTTTTGAGAATGTACAGAGCGCATTTTCTGCTCCACTGAATAAGCACGCAGCATGCATCTGACATTGGGGAGAAAGGCTGGTAACAGCATAGGATCGCCAGGTTGACTTGAGTACTGACATTGCGTATTTCAGGTTGCAATCCTATATGTACCTGGGAGAAAGTCCCATTGAAATCAATGGTACTTACTACTGAGTGAATGTTTGTGTATGACGTGCCTTTGCAGGTGTACCCATAAACATTCAGGATCACTGCTTGCGAGCTGTTTGCTTGATTTCTGTAGGATGCCATGACATATAAGGGAGCCTTTGTGCCCTAAAGTGTATGCATATGCAAATGAGGACCACGGAAGACAGCAGGCGGTGGCACGTCCAGTGGGCTGGATCCCAATTCTGCCTTCTACGTGTTCATTCCTACTTGGAATGATCACCAGCACAGGATTTGTGAATGCAAATTATGTCATCCAATTCGTGGTAATTATCTTGATTACAAAGATAGGGGCTGGATTTCATTTCTGCTTGCCAGATGGAATGATTTCCCTTCTCCTCCCCCTGCATGCTGTTCTAGGGGTTCTCCTGACACCCCAGAGCCCATCTGGGATGGGGTTCAGGGGCCTCTGCAGAGGAGGAGAGGGGAGGAAAGCCCCATTGATCTAATGGGACTTGTGGCTCTTGTCTCCTGTTAGTGAAAACTATTTAGTTAAATGTGGCTCACGGAGTCATACTCAGAGAAGACCCATTAATTAACCCAATTAGTCACATTCAATAGGTCTACTCTGAGTAGGATTAGCCATGAATACCACCCAAGGGCACTAAATATGGGTGCAATATGCGTTTTCTTCAGTATAAAGACAAGGAACCTGTGGTCCTCCAGATGTTAGGCTGCAACTCCCATCAGCCTTGACCATGCTGACTGGAGTTGATGGACTGAGATCCCAGCAACATCTGGAAGGTCACAGGGTCACCACCTCTGATAGAAAAAGGCGGCTGAATTTTATTTCATCTTGAAAACTGTGAACGTGCATCAGTCCATGCATTGCTGCTGCTATCACTTCACGCAGTACATTTTAGGGGTAAACTAAGCTTTAAGGCAGGTTTGCCTCTGTCTGATGAGTGAAATGGCCCTAAGCAAAGGTGGATAGTGAAAACATCCTTTGTGTAAGGAGTGGTTGTTGATTCAGAGCAACACCTGTAAGTCTCCAAACGTGCTTATCCCCAATTGTGCAACACCTGGGAGAGCAGCATTAGCGTATTAAGGCAACCTTGTAGGGAGGACTGGGAAACCAAGACCAGTTTCTCCTCTCCCATTAGATCCTGGCGAACATCAATACAGTCAATGTTTGTTTTATCTAATAGGTTTTCCAAGTTCTGAGAGATTCCACTTGTGAGTCATATTATATACAGTACTGGTATCAAAGTGACCTGGATTATTGAAAAGAATGCTTTGGCCTACTGGTATGCTTCTTCAGCCTTCTCTGTAGAATAATTTAATCACGTTCAAACTCCTCCAAATGTCAGTAAAAACAACATTCCTCACAAATTATGGCTTTGAAAGCCACTGAATACATCCAGTCCCAGACATTCTAGATATATTCTCTCACCATACAACCAATATTTTAGAATTCTATCTAATGGAGAGGGAGAGAGATAGAAAGAGAGAGAGAGAGAGAGAGAGAGAGAGAGAGAGAAAGAAAGAAAGAAAGAAAGAAAGAAAGAAAGAAAGAAAAGAATAGCTCTGGGCGGGTGGGCTAAGACTAAATTTAAAAGCTCAAACCCCTCCTTTTTCTAATAGACATGTTCACAGGCCAGTGATCATAGGGCTTTGACACGATGCTCCTGACTAGCGACCACACTACACTGAACATCTCTGACCTACATCCAATCCCATGTTTACTTCTGAAACAATTTCTCTCCGTGCTTACTTTTTACAACACTGATGCCAAAGAAGTGAGGATCTTTAATTCTCAGTGCGTCACAAACTTGCTCGAAGAGTTCCTGTCCAGTGGCTTTTACCTACAAAGGAAAAGATAATGGTAAATAGTTTACCGTTTGAACAAGATAGGATAGTTTCCCCTTGCCTAAGAAAACTTAACAGGTATTTGGACAATAAAAAACCTGAAGGAGCAAAGTCCGTGCCTGAGCAAACCTTCGTAGTGAGGGAATTTGCGCTGCCTCATGGCTCCATGCTCCATTGCATCATTGCATCTGACAGCGTGAACCGAACATACTGCCATAAAGCACATCCACAGCTGGATGGAAACAATTAAGATTGCTCTAGAATCCAATCTCTATTGCTAACATGTATATTGCTTCACAGTCAGTGAACTTAAGCCAGCTTAATGCTGTGTTAGATAGAGAGTGGCCAGTATTTCATAGTGATGAATTAGAGGCAATATTATTACACATGTAAAACAGCGCCATGTTGCATGATATCCTGTTGTGCACTGGAATCACAGGGCAATGTAGAATAGTAGATAGCATGGTGAATCTGAACACTGGAGATCAAGGTGAAAACCTGCTCAGTCATATAAAATCATTGCATGGTTCCCCCCATCCCCCCATTAAGTGGATTAAAGGTTAAGTTTACAGAGCCGTGAATGTTCTTCAGCAAGTCGCAAGTTGGGATTTCAGACATAACATGATGCCATGGTTTGTTTATCACAAGCTAACAACTTGCCCGGTAGCCATAAGCAACCAGGAATTCCATGCAGGCAAATGCGTAGGCTTGTGAAGGAGACACAGACCTCTCCATTTTTCCATGGCCAGTCCGCTTGGTGTTGCCATCCAGCTGCTTATGCTAGATGCTAGTATTCTGTGTTTCCAAGCTGGCTACAGGAGAGCATTCCCATTCTCCTCTGCCACACTGGCCAGTAAAAAACAAAAGAACTACAGGCTAGTAACTTTTATGGCCTGATTTTCAAGACTGGGCTAGTACAACCAGGAGTGGGGAGCCACAGGCTCAATTGTTGTATGTGGCCCTTCCATCTTCTCTATCTGGCCCTTGTCATTCTTAATGTATTATTACTGTATTTTTACTTCCAGGGAGAGCAACTTGCAGGATTTTCTGCCTGGCGTGTCGAAATAACCTGCACAGCCTGGAGTACTCCCTCTCTTTATAAAGGTCATCATCAAGGTGACCGAGGCTGAGTCAGTCCCAAAATCAGGCCTGAACCCAGACTGGCATGGATCCATATAATCAGTCACATCCAGGAACGTCTGCGGTTGTTCTGTCACAGATGCTGAAAGAACCACTTTCAATAACAAAATGAAATAGGTATGTGGTACTGAGGGAGCACGGGAGAGGAAATTCAGAGATTGGTTTCATCATTTGAGACCCTGTTGCAGATCTCTCAACACCATGAGGCACACTTGGCAGTGGCAAAAGGGGTGTGGTGGGGTGTCTGTAGTGGCACTCACATTGTGCCAGGCAAGCAGGATCAGGCCCCCTCACTGTACTGTTTCTGATGGCCACAAATACATTGCTGCTTAAAAAGGGCTTTGGCTTAACATCCCCCCATTCTGGCATTCAATTCTGATGACTCTTTTGTAGTTGTTATTGTTTTCTTCATTTTCATGCTGATATTTTGATTTAAAATTTGGTTGAATTGTGTAATGTTTTATATTTTATATTATTGTTGGCTGCCTCGATATACAGTGGTACCTCGGGTTAAGTACTTAATTCGTTCCGGAGGTCCGTTCTTAACCTGAAACTGTTCTTAACCTGAAGCACCACTTTAGCTAATGGGGCCTCCCACTGCTGCTATGCTGCCGCCGTGCGATTTCTGTTCTCATCCTGAAGCAAAGTTCTTAACCCGAGGTACTATTTCTGGGTTAGCGGAGTCTGTAACCTGAAGCGTATGTAACCTGAAGCGTATGTAACCCGAGATACCACTGTATGGGATATATACCTTTTAAAGAATTAAAGAATTCTTTAAAAACATTTTAAAGCAGTCGCATGCTTGTGCAAGGAGGAAGGGGGTGTGGGGAAGCATATAGGTTTGAAAAATGCTGAGAGATGCATGGTTACTTGGATCTAAAGTCCACTGCATAAAGTCAAGTGACAGAATTTCAATTTGGTAGAATACAGTCCCACAAAACCTCCTGCAGTGTTCGGAAAGAGAATGGGAATATCACACAAAGTCCCTTGCTTATCAAGATGTGGATCTATTCATGAGCTTCTTGCATCCTAGTCAGTTAATCTCCCTTCCAGGAATTCTGCAAGTATTAATATGGATCTTCACACACTCTGAAATGCAAAGTGTGATGCAAGTCCCACTTCCTTATTCCTGGAGTAGAGGCAGAACTAAGAAAGAACACAACTCTGGTCTCAACAAGCCTCTGAAAGAAGCACTTTCTATGTGCTGGGATGCACTGCAAAGCCTTCTTGGTCCTGCATGCTGACCCTTCCTAGTTTTTATGGACAAATAAACCATGCACAAAGTAGAGCCTTTTCTGTTCAGCTGGAACTTGCCAGAACTCAGTTCTGGCACCTCTCAGGTGGGTACCAATGCCATTGTAAGAGAATGAGAGAGGTGTTCGTGATGAGTTCCGGCACCTCTTTTTCTAGAAAAATAGCACTGGCACAAAGTATTTTAATCCTTCTGGAGACACTAAACCAATTCTGTTCTATGGGAGGAGGGAATGAATTGGATAAAGAAAATGGTTCTATTTTAAGTAGCCTTTCAAAGGCCAAATTTAATGTTAGAAAGATCGGGCATGCAGATAAAAGAACTCATTTGAGAAATGAAGATTACCTTCTTTACTGGTAGCATCCTCTGAAAGAAGAGCTACTGGGACACAGATAATCAACTAGGGACTTATTTGATGGAAGTTCTGGTTCCAGTACTAGTAACTCGTGTGCATACCAGGACATAGATAGCTACTGCCACAAGGAGAAATATTCAAACCACTTCTTATCGTGGCTGCCTCCCTGCCACAAACTGTGATGCGTGCAGCAACTCACAATAAAGAATGAGAGTGACTTTCACCATACTATGGCTACCTCCCTCACAATGGAACATAGAAAGCTCTCTTATCCAGAGTCAGACCTTTGCTATCAACACCAACCTTCCCCACCTGGTACACCCTCCAGATGTTGCTGACCCATGCTCAGAAGCTGTAATGTTTCTGAATACCAGTTGCTAGAAACCACAGGAGGAGAGAGGACCTTTGTGCTCAAATCCTGCTTGAGGGTTTCCCACAGGAATCTGGTTGGCCATTGTGAGAACAGGATGCTGGACTGCATGGCCCATTGGCCTGATCCAGCAGGCTCTCCTTATGTTCTCATTAACTCCCATCATTCTATCTACTGGCCAAGCTGACTGCGGGTGATGGGAGTTGTAGTCTAAAACATCAGGAGAGCACCAGGCTGAGCCATACTGATTGGCAGTGGCCCTCCAGGGTTTCAGACTTTCCTAGCCTTCCTTGGTGATGCGAGGGATTGGACCTGCAATCTTATACATACAAAGCATTTGCGCCACCTTTAAGCCCAGAAAAAAAATAGGAAATCGCCTCATATATGAAGCCCATGATCAGCTGATGACCATGAATGGCTAACTGCAGGAAGACCACTGACATGGCCAGAAAGCAGATGAGAGGGGCCTCTCTGTGCCATTTTACATGTACCACACTTGATCAAAATTGCCAACAATCGATGGAATTCAAGCCCATTTGAGCTGCTGACATCACATAAGCTCTTAGCAGCACGGTCAGGGCCATTGGTATGCCCATTATGTAACAGACTGTTCTGCAATATTATAGACCACTGTGTTGATGCCAGAAAACTAGATCATCCTAATTCACCACTCACTACTCCAAACTGGATTGTCTTGTTTTAAGGAAGACACTTCGCAGCAATATTTTGGTAACAACATATGTATTGAAAAAATGGCACTCTACAGGGGGAAAGAGTAGGGTTGCCATATTTCCAAAACTGAAAACCCAGACAGAGGTGCATTTTTCCCCTCCTCTGAAACCTGCCTGTTCCCTCGCTGCCTTTGCCTTCATCTTCTCTGCTGCTCCTCCACCTCACGAAATCCTCCCTCCAATATCGTAAGCAAGATTTCTCCCTCCCTCCCCGTCTACCTGGCCTGTCCCCTGCTTCCTCCAGCCTCGTGAAGCCATCACCCTCCTCATGGAAGCAGCGCCTGTGCACTCCATGCCCAATCTTACCCACAAACCACCCCCACTGCCTTTTTGCTTCACAGGCTTGCCAGTCCATGGGAGGCGCCCTGGTCCTCTCCCAGATGCCCAGACCTCTGGGTGACAGCATGCAGCCGGCCTCAGCGTCGCTGTGGGGGCTGCCGCTGCTCCCGGCAATGTATTCCACCCTCATTGCCATACATCCTGGTTTCCCCACACATTTTGCCAATTCCGGAAATTTCCCCCCATTTTTAAGGGCAGAATCCCAGATTTGTCCGGGAGACCCTGGACGTGTGGCAGCCCTAGGAAAGAGAAGAACCTAAAAGAAGCCCTTAAGTCCCAGCAGATGAATGAAATAGACTAATCCAAGGGACAGGTTATTATAAATTTCAAGTCTTTCTATACAGAGTTCCATTTTTAAAAGACTGTCCTTTGGCAAAGCGTCATCTGTATACCAAGTGACTCTCCCACCACTTATATCTTTGGATGGAGAGCTGTACTTGCTGCAATATTTCAGTCGGTGCGCAAGTTCAGGGTCATCCCCTTCCTATCGCTCACGGAATCTTTCAAGAGCTCAGAAAGCTCCTGCTCTTTAATCCGAAATGGGTTGTTTTGACAAAGTGCCCAACCATCAAGCAAGTATAAGCTTAAAAGTTTAAATCGCGAGTGTTCTTCCAATTAATGGGTTTCTTCAAGCTACTGCCACAGCAGTGTGGGAACCATATTTCTTGAACTCTGTGGGTGCCCTTTAATCTGGGGGTGGGGGGTGAGGAGGGGAACCACCAGGCACTTGCCCTCCCGAGGTCAGCCACATTGTGGTGCTTACCGGGAGCGGTGTGGTGGTGGGTAAGTTGGAAAGGTTCGGGTGCTGTGGCAGAGTCAGCCTGCCATTGTTCCCACCCCACCCCAGCCTCCTTGCTACCTTGCCTCTTCCAGTAAGCAGAGAAATGTGACTGACAGCAGAGCAGGTGCTTGGTACCACCGCTCCCTGCTTAAAACCTTCTCCTAGTCACGTGGGGGAACAAATCCCCAAGTGGCTTGCAAATTGTGCTAGGCACGGTCAGTAATATTCGCCTTTATCATGGATTCAGCATCCTTGCTGGGAAGAGATACTAGGTCCACGGCACAGATGCACATGATCAACCCTGCCAACATGGTTGGGTCACTTAAATTTTACCCCAGCCCCATAGGATCTGTCCTGCGGAAATTATGCATATCTATTAGGGGCTTGTCCACACTTCTGCTTGTACCATGCCTAGAAAACATGGGTCCGAGTGGTTTTCCCCTTGCCCCACTCCTTTCCCAGGGTAAACCTGCTCTTTAGCTTTGAAATGGAACAAATAGCAATCCATGGAGAACCTGATTGCTGTTTGCTCTGATTGAGCACCAAAGAGTAGTTTCCCCCAAAGGGCAAGAGGAAGTATGGATAAGCCCTAGGAGAACATTTAAAGAATGCTGGGTGTAAGGTTGTTTGTGTGAGTGTCACACACACAAGGACTGCCCAGTTAGAAATAAACAGATGCTTGACAGCTTCCTGACTATTTGTCTATCTAGCTTAGTCATGTCTCCTCTGACTGGCACTGACTATCCAGACCTTAAGCAAAGGTGTTCCCCATTATCTGCTACCTGATCCTTTTAACTGAGGATGCCATGGACCTTCTGCATGAAAAACATGTGCTCTACCACTGAGCCATGGTCCCTCATCTTGAAGTAGACTGGCCCCCACCAGGGCAGTTCCAGAGCACAGATGCTTACTGCACCAGTACTGGATCTCACATGGAGAAACAATTCCTATGCTGGTAAAGTGAGGTGTAAAGGTAGATCAAAACATCCATGGAAATGGATGAGACCAGCTCAGGGTTAAATTGATTTGTTGCAGGCAAAAAAGAGATTATTGTGGTAGTGGTGGCAATGACGATTCTGTCACTGCTCTTATGACTAATAAAGAAGAATGCCCCAGTGGTGCATCCCTCAGCCTGCTAGCTAATAGGTTTCAAACTGTACACTGAAGGGCAATATAGTCATGAACATTTAATTGATGCACATGGACTTTGAGGCTGCATACACATGACTAGTTACTATGTGATCATTGCAGCATGTATGACAGAACAGATGAGCTATCCCAGTAGCTATACTAGACAGATCCCTTCAGAAATAATGGAAGCTCAATTGCAAGGAGAGTCTTACATAATGGCTGTCACGTCAGAGGATTGCAGGAATCTACCTACCCCAATCTGTTAATCCCCGTTAGTTCACTATTGGGGCCCACATGGTACCTGGTCTGCTGTTTGTACACTACACCCAAACAAAGCTCAAGGCCCGAAATAATTGGATATTTGCTGAATCCATTCAAGACTGTGGCTGCATACACACAATACATATAAAACACATTTAAAGCTTTCTTTTTTTCTTCCAAAGAATCCTGGGAACTGTAGTTTACCCATCACAGAACTTCAGCTCCCAGGATTCTTTGGGAGGGGAGGGAATGTGCTCTAAATAAGATTTAAATTGAAGGCATGTATGCAGCCTGACTTTTCTTTTCTCTCTATTTCTGATGTTCAGGCTGTGCATGTCATTGCTGATCTATGCAGAACAGCCTACCCACGCACAAGAAAGGGGCATCAGCAGGCTTGGTGGGAATCCTGAGGTTTGCAGAAGTACAAAAAATCATTAGAAGTATGGGAAAAACACCTAACCGGGGGGCGGGGATAGTCCCATGGGAACTGTGTGATCTCGGTGGGAATAGAATTCTGGGTGAGCATGGCTGAAATTCTGGACAGGAGCACTGCAGAATTTTGTTGCATTTCCAGTGTGCGCTGCCTTGGCCTGAAGCGAGATGAGTGCTGCACCCCATAGTCACCTTTGACTGGACTTAACAGTCATGGGGTCCTTTACTATTCATAAAGATTGCCTATGCTAGACTGGGAAGAAGGTAGACTGAGATCTACTAGTAGGTCTGGGTGATTTGATCAGCAAGGATTTCTGACCCTCTGTTATCTATCACAAGCAACTCCCCCACCCCTGGAAAATAGGACGACATCCAAATAATACCACTTTAAAGGGCCATGTTACTGAAAAACTGAGTGGGATAACACAGAATAACCCCTTTGATCATTTACTTTGAACATATACTGTTCTATTTCCCTCCAGAGGGGACTTGAAAGTGATGGAAACTTTATACCTATCAACAACAAAAGGCTTTCTAATAAGCTTTCTCTTCTTTATAGGTTGCTGTCACTGTTGTTATTATTTTTGCAAGCCCGGTTTTATTGGCCAAACACATGAAAAGGAAAATAGGCAGTTCTATGCATGGAAATAAATAGTCGGCCTTTTCAAATACAGACCCCCACTAAACAGGTGCATGTTGCATAAAAAATGTGAATCTTGAAATAAATCTGAGCCTAGTAAGCAAGACTACTTTTTGTTCATTGATACATGGATTGTGAAAATCAGGAAACTGCCTTTTTCTCTTTCTTAAAACAGATAAATAAATAATGGAGCCCTGAAACTAATTCCCATTAACATTTTTAGTGTATAAAAGCTACCACAAACAGTGAAATATATCATTCTTTACCTTAATTATTGGGGCTAATAATTAACATTTAATAGTCACATTTCTGTAAGGGTCTGTTTTAGGGAGACTTTGCATAATATAGCACAACTTATAATTTGTCCCATATTATACCAGGAGACAATACTGTGCAAAATATGTTTCCTAAATGTCTTCTGTGTTGGAAAAACCAACACAAATGCCTGAGTTAGCAGACAGATGTGTGTTTTTACAAGCGGACCTTATACAAGCGGACCTTTGGTTTTCAAATGCTGTAAAACTATTAGGGAAGATGAAAAAGAATTTAAGAAAAACAGTCTCTGGTCATCAAATGTAACAGAGTTCCTAAATCCACAGAAACAGATCTTTCAGCTAGTCTGGTCCTCTTCTTTTGGGAAGTAGGTACTGACTGGGGTAAATGGGATGATCTTTATAGATAGCTTCATGTTGGTAAGCTTTCTGTAAACAAAAGACTTCTGCGGCTCCGTTTTACCACTCTCACAAGCTACTCAAATACATTCTTTTGCGTCATTCATGCTGGGCTCTCAGAAGGCGGCAAGAATAGACTTACCCCAACCATCACATTGAGCTGGTCTCGGTTTGGCAGGAGGACGCACATGTTTCTAAACTCCGGTGGCATCTTGTTTTGCAGAGCTTGCTTGCTCATTGCAGAACCGGTTGCAAACTTCTCATACCCACTCCTCCACGTAACGATGCAGCAGCCAGAGTCTCAGGAACCAAGCCAACTCCTCTCTCTCTGTCCTCCGAACCTGAGAAACACAAATCCTTAGTTTTGTTGTTCAGGAAAATAAAGGTGGACGTCGTGAGCGGCAAGAAGCCGATATGTTAAAGCGATCTCTTGAGCTTCATTCTAATAACCAGCGCTAACAGCCAAGCGTCTCCCAAGGCTGCATTCACTGGGGCAGAGTCATAAGTAATTCCAGCATTAGTCAGCTCTTTCGACAATTAACGGCTGGTTACACTGGGCTCGCTCGGGAGAGTGGCACACATTCCCTTCTCCTGAGTCATTAGCCTTGTCCCCCTCATGCCAAGTATCACAGTCCAGGGTTTTGTTTTGCTTTGTGGATTTGTCTCACCTACGTGGGCAATCAGCCCTCAAAGGCACATTCTCCCTCATCTGAGTCACTGGGAAGTAATGCAAAGAGCAAGGAAGAATGGGGAGAGGGGATCTGTAGAACACCAGGCGCAAGATTATGAAGTCAACAGTAAACAGTGCCACAGGATGGGCAGCTTTCCAAAAGGTGAATCAGGAGGAAAAAACCACATTCACGTGCCTTTGTGAGTGAAGGAGTATTAGTAAAAGTATGTGGGGAGGAATTTATTTTTTTAAATGTCAGCACAGAATGATTGTAGATGACACTGGATCTTGGTGGAAGTGAGACACAGAGAAGGTATACACCATGCTGTCTAATAAGCCATTGCTGCATCAGTGTCTCTCTGAACACAAGATGCCAAAGGGGCCATTAAGTGGAGAAGAATTATTACCCACACACCTTGCCTGCATCTGGCTGGCTACATCTAGAAACAGGATGTGTGACTAAAAGGACCTTTGGTCAGTTGGGTGGCCAATGTTTCCCATGTTACAGAGGAGAGCCCTATCTGTGAAGGACTGTCCAGTCCAAGCCCAGTCTAAAGATACAAAGAACCCTAAGAAAGGAGAGCAGGAGAAATCTTGAAGTTGCCCACCAGCTGTTAGCATTTGGGCAGCAGACTGAGAAGCCACACAGGTCAGTCTTTCTCACTCCAGTGTGATGTACTGTATTCAATTTAAGGTAACTGTTTCAAAATTTGCATCTATACATCCACATTAGCATACGCTCCTTTAATTTATTCATTTATGTTGAATAAGAGTCCACACCACCTTTCAGGAATGAAACCCTTCTCCAGGCAGTTGGCGTAACACTGGGGTAGCCCGTGTGGTGATCTCCAAATGTTTTGGACCTCAGCTCCCATCACTCCTGGCTCCTGGCCAGGCTGGGACAGGTGGGAGTTGTGGTCCACAATGTATGAAGACCACCACATGGGTTGGCACTGGTAGAATATCTCAAAGTACAACAGTAAAGTGCAACAGATATTACATGAAAACATTCTCTATTATTAAAGCTAGTGACCAAGAGCAGCCCAGCGTTAGAAAACACAACAAAATACACCACTATGCTAGCAAATCCCCACATATAGTCTGTTCATGTAAGCCAAGGTAAAAGGTACAAGTTTTTCAAGACAGTTGGAAAATATCCAGGGATGGGAACTAGTGTCATGGGGCAACTCTATTCCACAATTGTGGGGCCACCACCAAAAAAAGCCGTAGCCCATGTGCTTGCTAGGCCAACTTCCTTTGTGAGTGGGCATTTCAACAAGGCTTTATTTGCTTTAATGTAAGCGCTGTGGGTTAAACCACAGAGTCTAGGACTTGCCGGTCAGAAGGTTGGTGGTTCGAATCCCTGTGATGGGGTGAACTCCTGTTGCTCGGTCCCTGCTCCTGCCAACCTAGCAGTTTGAAAGCACATCCAAGTGCAAGTAGATAAATAGGTACCGCTCTGGCAGGAAGGTAAGCAGCGTTTCTGTGCGCTGCTCTGGTTCACCAGAAGCGGCTTAGTCATGCTGGCCACATGACCCGGAAGCTGTATGCCGGCTCCCTCAGCCAATAAAGCGAGATGAGCGCCGCAAACCCAGAGTAGGTCACGACTGGACCTAATGGTCAGGGGTCCCCTTTACCTTTACCTTTTTAAATCTGTCCTGGCTGTTGAGTTTGTTTTTTGGTGATGCGGAAGTGGTTACCTTTTTGGTGTGATAGAGCAGGGCCCAGGCAACTCCATGCTTAAGGCTGACCAGTGAAAGTCTTTCTGGTAGCGGGGAAGGGGAGGAATTATGTCAGATCCGCAGAGAAATGAAAGGACCTTCTAATAAAGGAAAAGCAAAACTCCAGGGTCAAAGCAAGCTAAAGGATGACTATTTTGGAATGAGACATTATGTAATCATGTATTTTTTTGGCTTCACCTAGCTGCCATTCAACAGTTGTTAGGACAAAACAAACTCTGAGCAAACCGTGTTTATGGGCTCAGTAAACTAGCACATTGAAACTCACTTTCACCATGCCGCCTCTGGATGTGCCCAATACTCAGACACAAAGAACAGAATACTTAATATTGCAGGTGGGCATGTCATCAATGCTGTTTTTACAGCAAATGCAAACACCTGCCCATCATTCCATCACTTCTGTGGCTCAGATTTATAGGTTCTCTCTACATAACAAAAATAGGCCTTGGAAGCTCTCATACCACAGCAAGCCCTGAGTTGATTTGGTAGTATTGGGGAAGCTGTGCTCTTTTGACTGTAAATAAACAAAGAAAAATTCTGCTAACCTAAGGACAGAAGGATTCTGTGCTCTGGAATTAAATAATTTTGCAGGTGATTTCCTTTGCTTTTGTAATGTGTCTTGCTAGACCTGGGAAATTTCAATAAAAGTATGGAGGCCACTAGGGCAATGGAATTTCTTTTTCCAGACACCCCTTTCCACCCTATTAAGAACATTCTCAAATTGCTATGAGTAAAAATAGAAACATAATAATAAAAACCTAGTTCTCTTATATTTTAAGTGATTTGATTATAGTGTTATCCGCCACATGATATTAGGAGAGTCTATCCAACGTGTGGCATGAATCATTAAGGGCTAGTCACAACAGTTAAGGGAAGGAGGAAAGTAGGAATAATGTCATTTAGTAGGGGATGAAAAATGGAATTATAACTCACCAAGGTTCCTAGACTTCTCTTACAGAGAATCAAATTATAGGGATATTAAATATATGGAAAGCATATTCCTACGGCTTTCGTGAATAATGAAATACTGTCGAGGTTGAATTGTGAGGATTCTCACTAAAATCAGCAGGGCATTCTAGATGAGCAACATCTAGAGACCACTATAAAGAGCTGAAGTGTCTCCAAGTTGTTTATCCAGACTACAATGGAAAGAGGCCACAGGCTTTTTTTTGTTATTCCTAGTGATATTTTTCTAGAATAGGATGTCCCAGCACTCACCATGAGCGCCTCTCGTTCTCTTATAATGGCAATGATGCCCACCTGCGAGGTGCCAGAACTGAGTTCTGGCTGAAAAAAAGCCCTGGTTATCCCTTATTCCAAAGCATTACAATCCTCCAACTCCTAAAGAACATAATGGACATCAGATTCCATTGTTGTGAAATGTCTCCTATTTCTGTAAGGTGGCTCTGGTAGCTGTGTGTGTGTGTGTGTGTGTGTGTGTGTGTAGCATTTATTTATCAATTTGACAAAAATTATACACCACTTGATTGTATCAAAACCTCTAAGTGGTTTACAGAAACTTATCAGGGAACCTTGTTCTCTCCCTCCATCAAGCTGAATGGCACTAGTAGCAACAGTCATTCTGGCAATATAGAAACTCTAAATAGGTGGCAGGGTAGGGGGGATGCCACTTCTGCTGGGCTCTTCTTGTCCCTGCTGGTTCTTGTAATGAGTGTGACTTTACTGCATCTTGAATTTCCAGTGTGACAGCAATCAAATCAAAGAAGACGGGGGAGGGGAACCCAATAAGGAGGTAAAAGAGAAAGGAAGCTTCTCATGCCCTGTTATATATTGAAGGAAGCAACCACTGCCGTTACTGGACTGTATATGCACCTTGATGGTAGCTATTCCTGTGATTAAGAGAGAATTTCACAGTATTGATGAAATACCACAGCGTAGCTAATTCACGTTAGCCATGGGCAAACATGCATAGAGATTAAGGTTCTCCGTGTTCTCAAATCTGATGGTGTAGCTGTACCGTATAGTTACAGTGTCAGTGTGTCATCTAACGTGTACACTATGCCATAGTGGAGCAGAGGCACATTGGCCATGGACAAATATCTCCATGTGAACATGAAGGTGATCTATGTTCTTAGATCCTGGGGAGATCAGAGACCCTGGTCCCCTTCAAAACATGCTGTCTACTTCCAAAAGGGCGGCATCAGAAAAGATGGGTGTGGAGGAGACAGGTAGTAGCTCCAATCTCCCCCCAAAATTTAGCTATTTTATGTTCTGCCAGAGCTCCAAGATAGTGAAGAGTAGGGAGATCTCTCTAGTTCCCTTTTCCTATGGGATTGTCTTAGAAGATTGACAAGTTGGGAAAGTGGAGCACAGAAGCTGCCTTATACCATATCAGAGCGTTGATCCTGCTAGCTCAGTACTGTGGTTTGGGAGGATTTCAAACAAGGGTCTCCCCCAGCCCTACCTGGAGATGCTGGGGATTGAACCAGGATGTTCTGCATGCAAAACAGGGGCTCAGGACCTGGCCTCCATGCTTCTGACATTGATGGAGCTCTGAAGATAAGCAATGAAGGGGGTGTATCACTGCATTTATTTTACCCTTCCTCTAATCCACTTGGATAAAAAGTTTAGAATCACATTCCCCTATGCAATCAACACCCCTGCTTCCTCCAAGAAGATGAAGAAGATGAAACTCTTGATGAAGTGGTTTAGAAATCTTTTTCCAAAAAATGAAATAAATTCTAAACAGGTGTGTGCAAATGAAATTGCACCCCTGTGCTTTCCTCTACCAAAGTGGAATGCAACTTTGAACGTCAGATGTCTGTCCAATTTTGAGCAATTTCCACTTCCTGCCACAGCCACCTCTGT